GCTCCCCTATGCTCCGGCTACACTGCATACCCCCTTTTTGCACCACTGGTCCAAGGCTGCTGAGAACTGGTGTAGATAAGTTCAATGAGGTCCCCTGCCACATGTACAACCTGAGCCTGAGTAAAGGGAACATCCCTGTCCTTTGGAAGACCTGCCGTGTGATTCCAGTTGTTAAAACAATGCATGTAAAGGAACCAATCCTCTATAGACCAGTTGTCTTGATCACCCACCCAACAAAAGACAGTGGAGGGGCAAGGTCTCATACAACCTGTAGCCTCCCTATAGGCCTTACATCGGAGTAAAGATTAAACTGTCATCTACTTGCTGCAGTTGTGTCTTACCAACCTGAAGTCTAACTTGTCCATTGCTTTAACACCATCTTGCCAGCACTCCTGCGCGGAAGTTGCAGGGCACGGAAGTTAACCAAAAACAAGTACCACCACGATACATGCGATTACACAGATGTAAGTGAGTGGTTGCTGTCTAGAGCACTGATGGTACTGTTTTGTCACAACTGTCAATCCTGACACCATGGGCTTCACCTACAACAGGGATGGCTGCCACATGAAAAAGTTCTCAGACAGCTAAGCCATTGTGGACTGTGTGTCTAAAGAGAAGGAGTTGGAGTCTCCGTTGGTCATCATGGACTATGTGAATTTGTGTGAGGGTAATAACCTGTGCTTGAACACCCTTGGGGCGAAGGGGATGGTGATCAATTGACACTAATGGTAAAAATATACTGGACTGGTCCCATAACACTAATGCCCTGTTCAAGAAATGCACAGGCTTTTGCTCAGAATTATTTTAAGACTGTGTTAGCCTCTGCTGTCTTTTATGCTGTTGTCTGTTGGGTCCCAGGCAGCACAGGATGAGAAATGAGGAGTAAGAAAAGGCTGGTGAAGAGGGCCAGCCCTGTCCCGGGCTCTCAACTGGACTCTGTGGAGATCGTGTTTGAGGCCAGAATCCATCCATCCATCATGGAGGACAACTCTGACCCACTGCACCAGACAGTAGAGAAGCCGAGGAGCTCCTCCAGTGGCCAACTAAGACACCCTCGGATATGGAACTAACCTCAGGTCCTTCATCGTCACTACTGTCACACTGTTCAATTTTATCATATAATAAGTCATGCAATGGACTCTATATTTAACAAATTCCTGCAATGATTGTGACTTTAGAACAATTACGTAGATAACTTTAATCATTGACTTACCAGTGCAAGTCAATAAACAATAGTATTAAATATTTCTTTATTTTATCTCTAATTCAATTTAGTTTATTTATAAATTTCTATCTTCTATCATAAAGCTTATTTATTATATATTCCTGGAATATCTGCACATTTGTGTGTTACAAACAGCTGTTGCTACAGGTCAATTTCTCCCTTGTATGATTGATAAAACGTATCTTTTCTTTTTGTAGTTCAGAAAACTACCATCAGAGAGTTGACAATTTAAAGATGACAATTTAATCTGTATTCTGCATAAAAATGTCCATCAGCAGCCAGGACATGGAAGGCATTTCACACTAATCATGTCACAAACAGCACTACTCTTTGAGAATTGGATGCTTTTCATACTGGCTCTAATCACATTTAGACTAAAAGCATCCCTGATGCCTCATTTAAATGTGGGCAAGACGCCTCATTGACTAGAAATGCTATTTGTTAAGGAAGTATAAGGGGCAAATGTTCCTGTGTATACACTTAATAAATGGGGGTGTAAACAGGTTGGAACATAGTTTAGACACGCAAAACTGGCAGGGGGGTCTTCCAGTCTGTGTTGCGTGAAAAGGAAAGTAATGTTTTATGAACCTATATAAAAACCTAATCAAGTTGGAGCAATGTTTTAAATGGATGTAGTTCACTAAAAGCAATCAATAGCAGGGTTTCCTAACTCTGGTCCTCAGGGCCCTCTCTGGTTTTAGGTGTTTCCCTGCTGCTACACACCTGACCTGAATAAAAATTTGATTAACCGGCTGTTGCAGCATTTGATGGCTTGTGAAAAAGGCAATGCAATCATTTGAATCAGGTTTGCTTAAGTAGAGACACATCTAATACATGAAAACCATTGGACCCCGAATTATCTTGGGAGCAAGATGAATTGTCACGAGATCTGTTAATACAAAAACTCACGAAAATTCATTTTGTAAGAAGCAACTAGATGCGTTTGGCCTCGATACAGAAATTTTTCGGACCAATGAAAGCCAGTGATGTGAATTGTGTCAACAGCTCAACCAAAGGCAGAAAGCAAAACAAGCAAAACAAACATGGGTGCGCCAGTTTTAGCTGGAATGTACTCTATCTCTTTTTGGAAAACAAGAAAAAGGAGGTGTTTTTAGCCTTGGTGGATGAGAAAGATGTTTGCACATTCTTCCTGACCGGATTTTGTAAGAGTTTGATTTATCAGTTAACTCTGCTAATTGTGAAGCAAATCAAGCTTCTACTGCTGTTGCTGGTGAAGATTCTAAGTCATCCGGGTCATTGTCATTCCAAAAAAGTTAAAAACCATCCACTGAACTTTGTTTCCAAATTTGAGGATGTTCCTCCTGCTGTGTATGATTGGCTAAAAACTGGACATGCAAGGCAGGTACCCAATCAATTGAAGAATTGCACTGAATGTCCCTCCCTTTTGCGAATCCTTGCAGGAGCCTTCACAGATCTGTGTAGTTCAAATTGAATTCCACATGGTATCAATCTGGATTTTGCACTGAGGACCAGGGTAAGGAAACCTTGATCTAGATGTTTTAATCAGTCTTTAAGAACAGCTCTTTTTCCCTTTTAGGTTATCAGTTCAATTCAAACAAATCACTTTATAAAGAATCTAGGGATATTAGATTCAGTTCCATTTCCAGGTTTAGCAGAACAACTACAACATTTATCTTAAGCACTTTAATCTTATAATGACTCCATTTTTTTTTATGAACTTCTTGCATTATTAATAAGGCAGGTACTGAACGGAGGGCGTGATCTGTTGTTCCACTATCCATTCACCTTCAAGGTATTTTACTGCAGGTTTTACTGTAATGCAATCGATTATAGATCAATACTGCTATAATCCAAAACAAACCTCTTTCCTCATCTGAATTCAGCAGCGGCACTCTGCATCTCTGCTTTCTGACTGAGTTTCATACCTACAATGACTATAATTTAAAATCAACCTCTCGGTCTGCTAAACTTGAAGTGGTTTGTACCTGCAAACCCGTGCAGGTACTAATATAACCTGTCTCAGACATGTCACCTTTACAACAAAAACTAATATTTCTACTCTATTTTCCATTATCTCCAATACAACCATGCTTACAATACGTGAAAGTCAAACTGAATGCACTGGCATACTAACAAAGACAGTGTGCTCTGCTTAAACATAAATTCAGCCAGAGTCTACATTAATCTTTGAATCATTGCAGCCTGATAATTATATCTCCACTAGAAAATAAAACAGTGTTTTTTGAAACCAAAGCCAGGATTATTATGCCACCAGGAGCAAACTTTTTGTATTCTTATAAACTTGAAATAAAGATGCATAACACAATGTTAAAGGTACATTAGGCTATTTTTATTATATATTATTCACTTCTCTTTCCTATTCATGTCCTCACAATTGTACCTCATGTTAAATAAGCTTTCCTCTATTTACTACAGTTGTCTCTACAGGCTTCACTAGTCAGTTTGCAAGATAATGAGAACGCTGGTTTCTCTGGGCATGCCTCTGAGTGTGACAGCCTGCACCCTCTTGTTCACCTTGCTAATTTCCTCAGTCTCCTCCACGGCAAGAAAAAGAAGGTGACGGTTTGTGAAGATGGATTACAAAAGTCAATGGCCCTAATAGACTTTTCTCTATTGTTATTAAGGGTCAAGTTTAAGTCTTCTTAGGGACAGGAACTTTCAGCACAGAGGGAGCTCTTATCGGTTGTGGGAATTGCGCTATTTTGCTAAAGGTAATATGATCCACTCAAAATAACTTTAATATTTATATCTTTTAGATTACGGTTAACGTTACACCCATAAATCAAA